GTGGGGGGGAGGAGGAGGAGGAGCACCGGGCCGAGCGGGGCGCGCGAGGTTTCGTAACGTGACAGACGGACGAGCAGATGAACCGAGAAGCGCCGAGATTCTGGAGGAATTCGTTTCCTCACGCTGCGAACACGCGAGCGTCGGTTCTGGTGAAGCGCTGCACAGAACCGGGCTTCAGGAATGTTGATGTGATAACGAGATTAAAGCCCAGACCTTGTCTCTCTGCAGGATCCTTCAGGACCGAAGGCATCAAGGCGTCCGACGTCCTTCCGGTGCTGAAGGAGAAAGTCGCCTTCGTGTCAGGTGAGCCTCAGAGGTCCAAACAAACAGGACATGTCCACGATGAGACACAACACGTCAGAAAGGAGGCACAAAATGACCAGAACACGACCCAGATAAGTCCAAAGACAGGAGACGTGTCCAGAATGAGACAAACTGAGACAGAACATGACAACAAATGGGCACAAAATGACCAACATTAGACACAATCACCCAAAAGAAATGCAAAAGTCCCCCAGAAAGGTCTGAAAGTCACCAAAATGAGACACAAAATACACAAAATGACAGGATAAATGTCCAGGAAGACGCCAAACATCACCAACAGTAGATGAAAAATGACCACAGAGATGCAACACAGCCAACATGTGACACAAAATGCTCAGAGTGGGAAATAAAAAACACAAAATGACCAAAGTTTTACACAAAATAAACCAAAAGACACGAACAATGAGACACAAAATGACCAAAGTTAGATCAGAACGACCACAGAGACGCAAAACAACCTGAATGAGACGGAAAAGGTCCAAAATGAGACTCAGAATGATCAAAAAGACACAAGATGCTCAGAGTGCAACACAAAACATAACCAGAGTTACACACAAAGTCACCCAAAGGACCTGATTAATACCTAAACCTGAATGAGACCCGGACTCAGACCCAGACTGAGTCCAGACTGAGACCCAGACTGAGACCCGACTGAGACCCAGACCAAGACCCAGACTCAGACCCAGACTGAGACCCAGACCAAGACCCAGACTGAGACCAGACTGGGACCCAGACTGAGACCAGACTGAGTCCAGACTGAGACCAGACTGGGACCCAGACTGAGACCCAGACTGAGACCCAGACTGNCATTAGCCTGTGTGAGCTTTGTGTGTGGAGCGTTGCTACAACTTTCTGGCTTCAGTGCTGCTGTTTCACTTCACTGATGACTGCTGCTGGATTTAAGTCTCATTCTAACACTAATATTATCTTCTTTAATTGGTGCACCGGTGGTTTGCTTCCTGGTTGGTGTCGGTCCTGCACACGTGCAGAAGGCGTCGTCGGGCCTGTTCCTCTCCGATAGCGGCTGCATGTTGTTGTTCGGTGCGTTAAACATCCACATGCTGCAGCCATCAGCGCTGCTGCTGCTGCATCCGTGATCCACGAAACACATGTTGGATCAAAGGTGTGTGTGAGCAGCGAGACATAAAACACACGTCTGACACTTCATTTAATCCTTTACTCTGGATTTGTTCAGCACTGCGAGATGTGTTTGGACGCCGATGTGGCCGCGCTGTTGTTCAACGTTATGCTAATGAGACGTGAGCCAGACGCCAGCAGACAGATGAAAGCGCCTCCAGCTTGTTTCCTCAGCGAGCCCACACGGTGTTGTTTCCTGCTTTAATCCTGATGCTTCACGTCGCCTCAGTCAGGAGCTTCCTTTATTTTCTTTGTTATTGTGCCAGAAAGAGAAAAATGCTGCAAAACTACGACTGCCTTTTTTTCTCTTCTTGATCCGTATCCTTTGCTGACCTTGCTGCAACACGCTCTGCACAATAAAACCACATTGCAGCTTAAGGCCAGAACATTAGAAAGCATATTTAGGAAGTGATGAGTTCATATCAACAGCAGCTGCATGCATCAGCGTTTCCTCCAGCGGCCGACGAGCAGAGCTGTTCTCCTGCTGCTTCTGAGCTGCTGGCGGCTGGAAGTCGATGTTCTGCACAGCTGCAGAGCTACAAAAACACACGAGCTGAATAAATGTGCTTTTATTGTATAATTAGGAAACGAGCAGTTAAAAGTGACCTGTTGCAAGTGCTTTATGAAGTCTGTGTTTACCAGCAGCAGCCCTGATTTCTGGTCCAGCTCTGGTCTGCAGACGGATCCTGGAGATTCCAACAGGCAGGTTTGATTTTCTGGTTTTGAATTTGGATCTGGACCAACGGGACTGTTTGAAATTCAACGTGAGAGCGTTTACACATTTAGGTAGGACTGAAAAAATCTTAGACTGTATCCAGATTTGATTTAAAAAAGACGATTTCTGTTTTCTTGCAGGTGATTATTTTCACAGTAATATTCTGGGGATAAAGCTTCTTCCCACACAATAAAGTTAAT